GTGGTTCTGGATTGGTGCTGGATTGCTACTGGATTGCTGCTGGGGTGCTGCTGGGGGAGCATGGGGCGCTGGATTGGTTCTGGAGTGGTTCTGGAGTGGTTCTGGATTGGTGCTGGGGTGCTGCTGGGGGAGCACAGGGTGCTGGATTGGTTCTGGATTGGTTCTGGATTGGTTCTGGAGTGGTTCTGGATTGCTGCTGGGGGAGCACGGGGCGCGGTGTCACCTTCAAGAGCCAAGAGGTGACCGAGCCACGCTGAGCCCTGCAGCGGCTGGACCTGGCCCTGCTCTGGGCCGTGTCAGAATCGCAGCGTGTTCTGACAGAGGTCCCAGCTCACAGGAGTTTAACTCACTCTGCTCGAGTCAGTGGGTGAGGAAAAACCATTTTCAGCAGAGTGAAACGCTCTGAAACTCCACGTGGAATGATCCGACTTTGAGCAGTGAGTGCTCTGGATGGTACCTGAGTTTTGCAGTATTTACTAAAGGATCATTTTGCAGAATTTGCTCGTTTCTACACTTAAACTGCTCTAAGCCACCTCACAATCTATCTTAAAACAATAGGGAGCCCATAGCTGTGGTATCTTATATTAATATGTGTGAAAATCTTGTTTTCAATGGACTCTACATTTCCTCCCATCAGGTTTAATTACAACTTCTGTAGTTTTTTCCTTTCCCTGGTATGTCAAAATCAAATCCACGATAGCTGCAGGTTGTGGATGCTCCCTGGGAGGCAGATGGTTAATTAGAACAAAATTAAGAGATGACAACCTGATGGTCAGTTATTAGAAGATGTGGAACATTAGTGGTTTCCTGCTGACTAGGAGAGGCTGGGTAGATCACTGGAATTGCAGAGTATCTTTGGATGTACTCATTTAAAACAATTAAATAAAGTTGGGGGGGGGGGGGAAAGAAAGTTGACAATTACTCATAATAGAATGTGAGAAGAATGAGATCAGCATCTCTTTTTCTTTCTGCTATGAGATGATCTCAAGATTCAAGAACGTGCAGTTTCCTGTAAAGACCACACATCTATTATCACAGATGCCCTCCCTTAAACAATGACAAGAAAGTTTCTTGTGAACTTTTATGAGTGCTTTGTCCCCCCATCCCTTCCCACATTCAGAGGACTGACTATATAATTTTTATACGAGGTCTTTTATATTTCTGTATGGGGATTCCTGTGCTCTATTTTCAGTTGAGTCACAAATCTGAAGACTCAGAGAGCACCACCTGCTTCTCTTTGCACATCTCCACTGCTCGTCAGGGTCTGAGCATTATGTGGTAACACAAATGTCTGCCTGATGGCAGATATCAGCTGTCTTAGCTGAAGACTTCTAGTGAGCAGGAGCAGAAGCAGCAGAGGTGAGAACCCTCACGGCCAGACTCACCTGGAGCAAAGGCAGATTTGGATGCTCCCGTGCTGAGGTGCTGGAGGAGGAGGAGGAGGAGAAGCACCCAGGGTGGGGGTGCTGCAGAGCAGCCACATGAGGGTTTTTTATGGGTTGGTGACTGTGGTGACATTTATTTCTGCACAAAGGCCCTGAGCAGCACACAGTGCCTTCGTGCCATTCAGTGGCACAGCGATTCTGTCCGGAATCACAAAATCCCAGAATGGTTTGGCTTGGAAGGGAGCTTAAAATCCATCCTGTTCCACCCCTGCCATGGCAGGGACACCTTCCACTAGATCTGGTTGCTCCAAGCCCCACCCAAGCTGGCTTTGAGCATTTCCAGGGATGCAGCAATCACAATTTCTCTGGGGATTCTATTCCAGTCCCTCACCACCCTCACAGGGAAGATTTTTTTCCCAATTCCATCCAGCCCTGCTCTCTGCTGTGTGAAGAAGACATTCCCTGTGTCCTGCCACCTGAGTCTAAGGTCCCTCTCCAGCTCTCCTGGAGCCCCTTTAGGCACTGGGAGAAGCTCTGAGCTCTCCTTGGAGCCTTTTCTTCCCCAGGCTGAGGATTTGGAAGGGAAGGGAACTGCTTAGAGCAGCCAGAGGTCAGGAGAGGGCTGGGGACAAGCAGAGCCAGATAAGTTGTGCTGTGATGTTGGGATGCTTCCAAGATCTCCCTCACTGGAAAGCTCTTCCCAAGGCAGATTTGGGGCTGAGGTGTCACACCTCTTTGTCTTTTAAATTGCATCACAAAAAAGGGAATCAAGCTTGCATCGTATTACTGAAACCTGGGTTATAACAAAAACTGGGAATGCTGAAAACTGGGAACGACTACAAGCATTTCCAGTTCTTCAGAAAGAGCAAGGGAAAGCCAGGGGAGTATGAAGAGATGAGGGTAAGAATTTTAAAAGTTGTCTTCTTGAAGTTATAAACACCAAAGGACATGCTGAAATATGAAAATATTCAGCTGTGGGGAAAGAGAAGGAAATACCTAGAACTGTTGCAACAATGAATGTGCCAAGTTTAGAACATCTTTAAGTCATCCCCACTTTCTGGAATTAGATTGTGCAATTTATTTTTTCTAGCAAATAAATGAGTTTTGTTTTTGATGAGGAAACACTAAGGCTCCCTTATATTTCACTTTGAAAGAGCTACAAAAGTGAAATGTGGAACTCGTTCTTCCATGCCAGTGATTAGAAGCCCAAAATACATCTGTTCCACATGAACAACTCCAGCCTTTGCTTTCACAGAAGAGCAGCTATATTTGTACTTACTCTAAATGTATTCCTGTTGATTTCATTCTTGTGTATTCTAACACGTAAAGTCAGAAAAAAAGTCACAATCTTGATCGAAACCAAGTTCAAAGAATCCATATGTTAAGGGAAAAAAATGCAGCAGTATTAAGCTGAATCTGCTTATTTGATTAATAATACTCAAGTATCAAAACTCACCAAAACACAGGAGCTCTAAAGACAGAGGACGCCCATCCGAGTGTAGAACAACTGCTTGGATTTACTGCCTGGCCTTCTGAGCTCTTTACAGCTGTGAGGAATTTTGGGGGGCTCAATTTGACTTTTGTAGCTGTCTTTACTGCTCTAGATGTTGCAGTATCCAGTTTACTTGCAATTAGTTTTCAGAATCTCGATTCCTGACTGATTTCCCCCCCAAATAGTTAAAAACTGTCTTAACTCCTGAAATCTAGGTGGCACTACAAATTATTAAGTGAATTTAAGTTTTGGGGAATGAGTTATGAAAGTATTTTAACCTGTGTTGTGAATTCATGCTTGAATTCCACTACTGTTCTATTGGAATTCTGCACTGAGCTCTTGAGAACAAGGATAATTTATGTACAAGAATGCCTTAAAATAAGCCCCCATAATTACAAAAATGCAGTGTTTAAATTTATAGTAAAAACCCACACACTGCTGGCAAAGCTATAACTGCATCTGGAAAACATTAAGAATGCTATTAAAATAGTCTAGCATAAACTAGAAATGAGACTGAAATTACAGTGTTGCTTACTTAACCATTTTCAGGAAGTATATTTTGAATATGATCTACTTTCCTATTTGATTTTTTGCTAAAGCACTGTACTATGTCTTATTTACCACTGAGAGTGCCTTACTTGCTCTGTTATCTATTTCAGACAAATCCATGGCTCAGATTTTTTTAAGTGTCTTGTTACAGTTGTCGAGAATTTGAAACACAATCAGGTGGTTGCTGATCCAGCCATCAGGGAAAAAGTAACAGGGACATCCCAAAGGAGAATAAAAGTCACAGCAATTAAAATCTTATTTTATTAAAAAGATGAAATGTTTTCAAACATTGAAAAATTATGTTTTTATAAAAACAGAAAATAGGCAAAATACCTATTTGTCTTCTATTTACATATACAATATTTCTCATTGTATAAAATTATTTACAATATATAAAAAATTACAGTAAATAGGTTATTTTCTTACAAGACATCAAGCCCTGTACTTCTAGTGTAGATCATGGCAAACAAGAATACTATTGCACCTGTGAACCAAACAGTCTAACAAGAGGAGTGTTCTCTTAGCCATGCCTTCAACTGAGATCTAAACTAACATCGTTAGCTACAGTAACATTCATTTTACCTCTTCTAGGGTCAACTTCAGGCAGTTTCCATACAAACATTGTCTTGTAAAGCTTAGGAATGGGCAGTTAGAATTGGGGGGGGGGG